CAAGAGAAGAATCTTTCTTGGAAGAACAGAAACATATCCAAGATTGTTGAGCTCACAATGTATCATATGTTCACTAGCATCAAGGTTGGAATCTTTTTCTTCCAATTTTGCCTTAATTCACCTGCTGTAGTAAAATGATTATGTTGCAGAATTTTTCCAATATGACAACATTGATTTGAAACCAATTTTCTTGGATGGCCAGAAGAGTGACCAATAGAAATTTTACTAGTTCTATTTAGTAAACTGATATATCGTTCATATGTGCGCAAAGGAATGCACAATCAATTAGAAATTTCCTTTGCATTACGCACTTTTTGGCCCCAAAATGACTTAACAGAATTTCTTTGTATTTTTAAAGAGCTTAGCATAGTTTCAGAAAGGAAATCAAAATAAAAACAAATAATAAACCTTATTTTTTTAACTTACCTTTTTAATTCATGTTCCAATATCCGATTTAGGCATATAAATAAATGCCTAAATCTGGAAAGTGGTAAAACTGCAGCCTAAAATAGATGCGATCTTCCACTGCTATTTTTTTCACTGGAGACTGTAGTTACTAAAGATATTCTATTAATATTATATAATTACTAATTGACACAATACATGTGTTAGAATTATGCATGTTACGTTCTATATAAAAGTATTAAGTGAATTTACAATTTAAAATAAAATTACTTTAAAACTTATTAACCTTTTTTTAAATAATGATAAAAATTTCATTTCACTTAAGAGTGATAACTTATTTTTAAGTAAATAAAGATTAAGAGAAATTTCTTGACGAGGATTGATTCTGATTCTTTATTTAGATATCAAAGATAATATTAGATATTATTATTTTATAATTATGAAATAATTTTAATACTACCTTAATCAATCTTAATTCAATTTGAAATTCAGAATTAGTGTAATATATTTTACCTAAACAATTCTGATCATAAGATGCATCATCAAAATATAATCCAATTAACTTTGTTCTAACATGATTAAGATGTTTAATTACTAAATTATTTTCTTGAAATATATTTGCTGAAGTTTCTTTTTGATCTGATAGAAGTACAGTAATTACGAGAGGTGGTATTTCAAATATAACTGTTAAAATCGCAAAAACTGTGATATAAGTTGCTTTTTTTTAGGTTTATTAATTTTTGCTAAAGTTCATCAATTGTCATCACTTGAGGAATAGAGATTTATTGCATCTATACATATCCAATGAATTGAACATGATGATGATCTACTTTAATTATTTTAGCAATTTTAGTTTGATCTTTCGCATATATAGTTAGCCTATATAGTTATATATACATTGCTATTTACTAATTAATTCAGAAAAATTTGAGGTATTGATTCCTAAAAGATCAAATAAATTATCACTTTAGTTTTGTATTTGCTGAAGAAATCTTATTATTAGACCTGCAAAATTCAATGTGATCTATCTTACAGTAAGAGTACTAATTAAGATAAGTATTACAAAGAAACTAACAAAAATCTTATTATATTAGATTTCACGCATTATAGTAATATTACATTCTATTTTATTAAGAACTTTTGTAACTGATTGAGCTATTCTAATAAATATAGATTGCTTTTCATTATTCATAGTTTTATTTACCATATATCGAGTACACTTTAACATTCAACTTTCGATTTCATGTTTTTTCACTTCTTTTAAAAGGGTTCCTAATGCCAGATAACTTTTAATTAGTTGGTAATATTTAAAATCAAGAATCTCTTTTTGTAGTACTTGAGTAAATTGTCAAGATTATCAGAGTGATACTTTTTTAGGTGACTTTCTTATTTTTTAATATGTACATTGAATTCATTAAAAGAAAAATTAATCTATTTATTGAAATTGGACACATGAAAAAATTTACAATGAATTGAATCAGTTAATTCTCTATTTGCATTTAATATCATGATACAATCAATTTGAGCAAATAATTCTTGATATTCTCGATTTCTTTTATTAAAATGCTTCATTTTTTACTAAAAGATCACATTTGTAATACCATTTTTTAGAACAATATCCAAGACATATTGCACTTTTGAAATAACCTTCTATATGATCTAACCTATCATATAAATCATCATTTTGAAAAATTGTGTATTAAACTTTGATCTTTTTATTAAGAATTGAAGTACTATACTTTGCAAAAATAACATACCTTTGACCTAAAGAATCTATTATAAACTGTAATGTAGATAAAATGAAATACAAAATAAGTTTATAAAATAAATACATTTACTAAATTAAAACAAATAATATACTATACTATATTATTCAAGATCTTTAGATACCATCTTTAAGGATCTTTGATTTTGATTCATTAATGAAATATTAATTAGTTGATCTTTAACTGGTTCAGTCAAATTAATAATACTAGTATCATTATAATTATCATTCGTTTTATTAAAAAATGATATTAAAAAAGTAGAACGCATTCTTTTAATTTAATTTTTTGTGTTATTTTTTGAGAATTTTTAATATATGTTGAAGTAATAATATGTTTCTTTAATTTGATTCTATCATTAAAATAGTACAGAATTATTAATTTTTGACAACTTTGACAATAATATGTTTATTATCATCAAATAAATCGTATGATTTATCTTCTAAAATCTTTTTTAACAAAGCTTATCCTGATAGGTCCTCAAGATTTTGAAGGATTTCTACTATCTTTTGTTCTGTATTTTCATCTCGAGTTCTTTTGGCTAATAAATTTTCACTTTGAATTACTAAACTTTATATAAAACTGCTTAATGAAAAAATAAACTCTACATATTAAAATTGAAATACAGTATATGAGTAATATTTTCACCAGTATAAGAAGCAGTGCTTTTTCCTTTTCCTTGAATAAAATTATTTGTTATTTCAAAATACTTAAGCTTTTTTTGTTATAAACTATTTTTAGATGAATTTGAATTACTTCTTTCTTCAGAATTCATACTTATGATCAAATTTTTTGACAGAAAAAAAAGAGATAAGATAATGATAAAAAAGTATATCAAAACATTTCTGATATAGATTTTTATACATTGAACTCTTTAATTCTAGAGTAAATCTGTATGCGAAAGTAAAATTTTATTATAAATTTATACGCGAAAATAATTTTTATTGTAAATCTATATAATAAGGTAAATCATTGTTAGTTGAAATGCGTATCCTAAACTTTGATCAACTTTTCATATCTGTACAATAAGAATCGCAAAACTTTAACACTAAATTATTAAATTTATATAATGAGGATTTTATCAGTATATTCAAGTGTTCTTATTCCTCCTGTAACAGTATATGATACTATTAACTGTTATAAAAATCTAGTTTTTCATACCCTAACAAATGTTCTGGATAACTGAAAGTCTTATTTAATTTGAAAAATATTTGTTATGAAAAATTATTTATAAAAGATAGATTTACTACTTTTAGTGAAATTATAAATCAGCTAAACAATAATTTTTTAACCAATTATCATGAAAATACTATTTGTAAATATTTACATAAAATAATGTTTAAAAATTGTATTTCAAGAAAAAAACCTCTTTTAAATAAAAAATATTAAATTAATCGATTAAATTAGTAAGAGAAATAAAAGATATTATGTGATCAAATAAATCTAAATTTGCTTTTATCAAGTTAGATAATTATATTAATTATAAAAATAAAATAGTAAAATATTATATTTTTCTTTATTTATGAATAATTTGATTATAAAAATTATTATTTTAAAGTTGTATATTAATTATAGTAATTGATTAAAATATTAAATAGATAAATATCTAAATATATTAAGTTATATAAGTGTTTTACAGTAGAAAGATAAAAAATTTCAAAAAAAATTTTTGATCTGGATTTATTTTACTAAAAAATCATAATTAACTTATAAAATAAAAAATTTTTTTTTGGTAATTTCCTTTCTTTCTATTGTAAAGAAAATTTTGTAAAGCAATAAAAATTATTAATTTTTATTAAATAATTATTATTATTTTATTTAAGAAATTTTATACAAAATTATATATTTATTATTTATAATTAAAGATTATAAACTTATAAATTAAAAAATGTAAGATTTTTATATAAACCATAAGTGTTAATATATTTAATATTTAATATAATTTTAAAGATGAAAAAATAATTTAGCAAATAAAATTAAATTTAGTTTTATATTTTATTTTTTTTTTTTTTTTTTTTAACGATGTGGCACTGCCAGTCACTTAGTTTTATATTTTATAAAAAAAGAATATACTACGTCCAATCTTAATGTGAAACCGTAAAATAAATTTAGTTAAATTATATTTGCAGATATTTTTGTAGCAGATTAATTTTTTTATAATGAAGATGACGACATAATTGTAAATGATAATTGCATTTTATGGTGTAGAACTACGGAATCAATGTTAATGAATGATCCGAAACTGCATTAGATTGGACCAGATGCATTGTTGTTATACCATCATTACTTATTGCAGATGGTGCTGCGCTTTATTACAATCAATCGTGGGCTGGCGTGGCGAAAAAGTCTCCATTCTTTTATTTCATATTATTCTGCAGTCAATCAGCTCGGACTGCGGTAAGTTGAAAATTACCCCCTTATTTTAAGTTACTACTTCTCTTTAAATGACAAGAATGGACAAACATTGTATAATAAACATAAATAAAAATATATTAAATATATATATTGAACAAGTATGATTATATAATAAGATTGTATATAAAATAATAAATACAATAACAGATAAAGTATTTTTGATATCGGTATTACAGTAATTGCGGAAAACTGCGGCAATTTTTTTAAAGTACCTATCCTCCTTGGTTTCAGCCTTAGTAAAAAAAACTGCGTATACATTTATTTTAGCCTACCTTTTTTTTTCTGCTTATAGCTATAAAACCCTTCTCACAAAAAAAAAACCTCAACTGTTAAGAAATGTTATATATATTGTTTTAAAACTTGATTTAACTCGCCTAGCTAAATTCTTGATGATCTTTCGACAAGGTATTTCTCAGAATGAACAAACGACGAATGATGGTATTTATGCCAGACGAGAAGCGCGACCACATGGTTGGTTCTCCGCAGCAGCTGCCATTAAAACATTACTTGGAAGACAACTACCATCTCCAGCAACAACATCTGCAACAAGTTATTCAAAAACGTAGAAAATTGAGTGAGACAAGTAGTAGTAATTCTATTGAGCCTAATTTAAGACAGCAGCAGCAAATAAAGATTCAAATACAACCTCTTGTAGATTACTCCTCCTTTGAGTTTCCTAAATTTGAGATACATGGAAAGTCTTGGGTGCAAAGACCTACAAACTTGGTCCGTTCTCGTTGTCCTTCGCTGATCGGGCGGCGGTTTCGAGGAAATGCATACATATCTTCAAGACCTAACGTGCACTGTCATTCAAAAATAAACCAGTTTGAACCCGTGAAAGAAAAGTTATCCATGGTCAATAATAATAATAATTCTCTGGAGCTGTCATATCAACAAAGTATGACTTCTGTTAATGACGAGTCACAAAAAACCATTGACAATTTGTCTAGTAATTTTAATAATCAATTGAGTAGGATTACGCATCAGCAAGAAGTTTCTACCGGTATTACTAACAAATGCATGATTCCCGTAGACGCACCAGATTCCGTTCGTAATCATTCTATAACAATAGCAGATCATGTTCCAGGAAACGAGAATCAAGAATTTTCAATTCTCAATATAATTCCATCTTTAATTAGTGAAAAACATCGAAAGGCTGCTTTTGTTGAAAACCTTGTCGGTGAGTGATTTGGGTATAGGAAAAAAATGTGTCCAAATACAATGTAATCTCGATATACTACTAAACTTATAGTTTAGGAAATTAAAAATTCAGTACGCAAAAAAAAAGTTCGATGAATTAAAAATTTTTTATTTACAGAACTCAAAATCTATTATGGAGAGTTCGGTATATCGAGATTACAGTGTACGAAGAGATGCCCATTTATTCCAAATGTATTATCAAAAACTCCTCTCACCTAAAATCAACATTGACGCTCAATTTAATTACATCATTACATCGATCCGGCAAAAATAATTATCGGGTAATTTGTAGATACAGCTGGCCTCATCATTGAGGTAATTTGGGCCAATTTTTCCGTAAACCCTAGCGCAAAAATCATTCCACTACGCTTATTCCTTCAAGAAACTTTACGTCGTTCGAGGACTTCCTATTCAACCCTTCAAACTGCACTATTTTATCTTTTTCGTATCAAACCCCAAATTTCATTTTCATCTATATCTCAACGTTCCGAATATCCCCCAACCCCAACCTCGGAGTTTCCTCCAGATATGAATCAAAGTCAGAATAATGATCCTGCGACTTGCGGTCGACGTATGTTTTTGGCAGCTCTGATCGTTGCATCAAAGTATCTTCAAGATCGTAATTATTCTAATCGAGCATGGTCAAAAATTTCTGGTCTCCCTGTTAACGAAATAAATGCAAATGAGATTTGTTTCCTTAAACTTATCGATTACAATCTTTTCATAGCCGAAAACATCTTCAAACGTTGGAGTAGTCTATTGTTAACACATATTCAAGCTATTTCAGGTTCAGAGATAAGTAATCCTGACGCGTTCAGGCGAGCAGAGAATCAACGAGAGGTTGCAATATTTCGTGAAACTTTGAAATCCATGGATCCAATGACAATGGATTACAAACATACATGTTATCCTGCTACACCTGCTGATAGTGCTCCAAGTTCACCAAAGGAATGTAGTTCAGAAATTGTGCAAGTTTCAAATTCTTATTCATTAACTCCTATAACACAACAACCAACTCCACCAATATCATACGGAAATTTTGTTGATAATGCTAATAGGACTCTGGATAATTATGTGAATTGAAAGAAACGATACATATATATGAATATTTTCACCTCATCTGAACTACGATTTTCGATTGATTTGTCTCATCTTTTTATTATGATCATTTTTTCTACTTTTATAACATAGCTAAAAATTTCATAGGGTATTAGAAGATTATTCCTTCATAATTCCCATAAAATCAACCTTTTTTTAGTTATTATACCTATGGAGGGAATTTTTATTTTAAGCTACTATGCAATTTTTTTCCATGATATAAATCATCGTTGCGCCTTTTAATAAGTAATCTCTTAAAATTAAAATCAAATTTTAACTTGATTTTAATTTAAGAGATCCATTTATCAAAATCGCCAAAATTCACGAAAATTCTCATTTTAACATATAATATTAACATTCAATTTATAAATTTATGTAATTTTTATTAAATTCAAAATTGAATTATGAAAAATTCATTTTATGAAATAAATTAAATATATTTTTTTTTATTTTTGTATTTTTTTTTTTTTTTTTTTCATATTTTATGAATAAATTAATCTTAAAATTTTATAATATAATATTTAGAAATTTAGAGGATTAGTAATGGAAACGGTTATTTATAATTGCATGTTTAAGTTACTATGATGTATAAAATTACCGACTTTTTTTTTAAATTTATTATACTTTACTTTTAAATCATTAATAATTGTATTTGTAAAAAAAGATCAAAAATAATATAATTAAATAAAAAAAAAAAAATAACTATTGCATATTAATGTTATCCAACTCATTTCTTATTTTTACAACTTGTATTTTTGATCCTAAATACATGCATCTAGAAAATAATATTTAACAATATAGTATTTATTGAAATAATTTAACAACACATTTACTAATTCTTTCTCAAATAGCATTGAATTATATTTGATTAATACATCAATTTGTATTGTTAAGTGTAATTTTTCTTTTATAATATTCTTTTAAATAATAATTGTCAAAACTTATCAAAAGAATTACTTAAACAACTAAATATAATATATTTTAATCAAAATGATTAAATTTATTTATTTTTATTAATTAGAATACAAAATTATTACATAATATTACAAAATTAATAAAAATAGATCATAACACACATAAAATTTGCTTTATATCAATCACTACATAAAACATTATCATTGTTTAAACATTTAAATGTAATGTTGTTTTATCTTACATATTGATTGATGAATTAAATTTTATCAATTTTGTATTACATAACCTGTATTAAATATTAAAGTATATACTATATAAAAATATTTTGTATTTATCAAATAAAAGATTACATTTTAATTAAAACTTAATTTATTAAACTAAAAATTAATAAAGTAATAATATTGTTAAAAATACATTTTGATAAAATAATAAAAACTATTTTTGTGATATAAATTTTCTTTAGTATATAAAATTTGTGTTGCATTATTAGATAAAATATCCTGATTTTTATTTTTTTAATGATTAATATAATAATATTTTGGATATTCTAATGGTTTCTATTATCTAATTTATAATAAAAAATTTATATATTTATTTCTTTATAATATTTAGATCTTAATACCTTTTAATCAATTATATAAAATTGTTAAATATGAAATTATTGTTTAAATATTATTTTTAATTAAAAAGCAATTATATATAGTTAAAACTTATATAATAAATTTGGTATTTAGACTAATCAGGCCTTTATTATAAGAAAATTTGTTAACATTATAATGAATTATTTAGTAAAGTAGATAATTACTAATTTCATTATATAAATATAATTTTACTATAATATATTTTTCCAGAAATATTTTCACATTATTTTGTAAATTCTAATCATTTTATTTTAATATACAATTTGTTAATCATTATATAATAGTTTTATTAATTTATCATTTTTTTTAAGAAAATTAAAAATAAATTAAAAAAAATAAAAATAATAAAAACAAAATAAAAAAAATTAAAATTAAAAAAACTAATAAAATTATAAAATGAAATTAAGAAAATGAAATAAAACTATAAAACAAAATTAAAAAACAAAATAAAATTATAAAATAAAATTAAAAAATAAAATGAAACTATAAAACAAATTATGAAAATGAGATAAAATGAAAAAATGAAATTAAGTGAATAAGATAAAATAAAAAAATGAATTAAACAAATGAGATAAGATGAAAAAATGAAATAAAGTAAATGAACCAACAATGAAATTTTTAAAAAAAATTAAAAACAAAATAAAAAATTATTGCCTCGCAAATATATTATGATTTATCTTATATTTTAGTTGGCAAATTATGATTTCTTCTTCAAATATGTCTTAATTCTAAAAAAGTAAATATTTTTAATATAAATCTAAAAAATTATTTAAACGTTTTTAATTATTAACTAACCTATCTTAAAATTGAATCTTAAAGAGGATATATAATCTTTTTATCATATAGCTTCTCTAACCTCTTCTCGCTTTATTTTAATAATCACAAAAATTCTAAAAGATATAAATTATACTATTAAGTTATATTTATCATTATTTTGTTATTTGTTTATTTATTTATGTTATAATTACATATTAAATTCCTTTATTTCTACTCATATTAGTAAGTAAAATATGTCATATTATATTTTTAATTTATTCTTTGAGCTATACTCTATTAGAATCTCATTTTATTACCTCTATATCTAATATAATACTTATTATTTCTCTTTCTTTTGTTTTTTATTAATAAATTTATATCGTTATCTTTTTAAATTATTCTTATAATCATTTTTGCATTTAATTCAAAAGTATAAAATTAAATAATTTAAAGGTGAAAATTTAATGATTTAAGATTCAAAAGATAAAAAATTATATAATAGTTTTTTTTTTTTTTTTTTTTTACGTGCGGTAGCTTTGCACAATCTTTATTAAAAGTAAAGTAAAAAATATTACAAATTACAAATGAGAGAGTACAAAAATTTCTATCTAGTAGAGACTAAATCAAAACCAACCTTGCACCGTTCTAGACTAACCTACCCTAAATTAATTTAAAGTAGGTTTAACCATCCAGTATGGGGGCCTGGTTACTACCGATCCAAAAATTTGACCAATGCGAACCAAAAAGGAATGAATCATGAAAATAAGGAGGGATAGAAAAGGTATGAGGGGTGGAGTAAGGAAAGCCAGTTGCTACTGTATTTTCTTTACGATCTTTGAGGGACAAGTTGTGTTCATCTTCAAATTTTTTCAGGGTGGCACATCGATCGAGCCAAAGAGCTTTGATTTTCTTATGTGTGAAGTGGTATGTTGAGGAAAGTAGACCACGGACGAGTGATTTATTATTAACTATTTGATGTAATCTCGTTGTAAGCAAGGACGGAACAATGCCTTTTATAAAGTCAATAAAATTAAAAGAGGTGTGTGCAAGATCAAGGTTCTAAATATCCATTGAAATGATGCTTGTAATATCAAATTGATTATTAAGTTCAGACAAATGCTGGGAGAGGAAGGCGATAGTGTCTAATAAAATGTCGTTGATTTGTTGTAAAGTATGTTGGCAAAGCCAGATATGATCGAAATTCTCCAAGCTAGTAAGGCATTTAGGGCAAGGCCATGAGGGATCGTATAGCTTAGGGTGACGTATTTTAAGTATCTCAAGTGAAGGAAGGAGTTCAAGCAGGAGTTTGACTTTAAATTTTCGTATGGAGGAAGCCTTATATGATGTGACAGAGTCACTTTCATTATCATTGAGTATGAAGGCAGTATTAATCCAGTCTACCTTTAGTGTTGAATATTTTTTAAAATGTGAAAGTAGTAGAATGTTGTGAAAGTCAATGGAGTTGAGGATATCTTTGATAAAATGTCGTGGAGGTGTCAGAACAATCAGGTTACTGTAATGGAGAGTATAGTCTAAACCTAATTTTGATTGTACTAGATTTATCGGTGGACTTATTTCTTTAGCAAGTCAGTCAACTTCATTATTATAGTGGTCGTCAGCATGAGCTTTGACTTTATAGAGTGTGATTTCTATATGTTTTTCTTTGAGCTGGCGGAAGAGTGAACACCAAATAGTATAATATGAAATTTTGAAGATGGGGTTGTATGTGGGGGCGCAAGTGAGAAAATACTTCATTTTTGAAAAAGAGGCTATGGTGACTAAAGAATCTGTGAAAATGTCAATATT